AAAATCTGCTTTGCCTGTTAAGCAACAGAATGCCTCAGATATTTCAAAAAAAAAAAAAAATCTTTGTCATTTTTAGTCTGATTATTTGTTACTTTTTTGAGATTCTTCTACTCTGCCCAAGAACGAAAAGCCTGGAATTGCTGTGTTCTGTGCGTAGGAATATCTCATTAACATCACTAATGGGGATTTATCCACCAGCTATTATGAAAATAGAATAAAAAGGAGAGGGTGACAGAAGCCCAGCCAGAACTGGTCATGCCGAACAGGGATGACAAGAAGACCGGAGCTGTAAAATGGTGTTATGCGGCCGTAAGTAGGTCAAAGCTTACCTTGTGAGGTAGTGGACTATGCTAATCGAAGGAAATCCAGCATAGCTCGAATACCTTGCGATTTAAGGTAGAAAGGATGGAATTTAGTATATGGTAGTAGGGAAGATAGTTGTAAAGATAATGTGGTAAAAACCGAACACAGAGTTATATACAAATAAAAAAATAAACTGCCTGTCCTATTAAGAACAAAAATAAATTGCCTTTGGAGGGAAAATGACCACTCGGACAACGCGTGACCTCTGTTTTATGTTTCTTATCTTTGATTAAAGGATGTTTTTTTTTGAGAGTGTTAGTGGACAATATTCATTAGAAGACTGTCGTATATTTCGACAAGGATTTCGTCTTTTTAGGCAAGCACGTAACGGTCAAAATTGAGAATTGAATTTTCGAGAAAAAAAAAGCTTTCGAGAAGTACCAAATTTTCAAATTTCATAAGAGTTCCAAGTTCAGAGACCGCAAAACCAGTGAAGCATAGCTACAGAATTAGTGGGATTCCGATGTGGAATGGATTTCCAAAGGCCCACGGCATTCGGGGAGATGGAGATATGCGGCGATAAGATCAGAACGGCGAACCTCCCCTCTTATCAGATCGATGATACCACAGCGGTATCGGGGAATATCTGTCCTTCCGGAAAATGGGTCAGGGCATGAAATCGCGTAATGTGGTCGTTCAAAAATAGCTCAAAACGACATTTTTTCTCACAAAAGTTAAAAAAAGTACGAACCTGTGGCCTTTTGCTGGCCGAACTGAGCAGTGCGCTTTGCCGGAGGCACAGAAAGCCCGTTGTGAGGAGAAAAATAATAATAAAACAACGACGTCGAAAATGAAAGCCTCAAAAAAAGAGTAATTATTATAGTTCATTTTGACAACGGTTCAAAAATTATGCTTCTCACAACTTCAGAAAACACTGACCAGAAGAAATGCTAATTAAAAGTGAAGAAAAATTAAACAGAAAAAACTATGAAAAATGAAAATTGTGATATTTAAAAGCTAGAAAAATTAGCAAACTGGAAAGAAATGTTTCGGTCCATAAGTCTTTCGAGAAATGGTAATTTTGAAAAAAAAAGTTTTGGTAAGACTCATTTCGCCGGTAACCGGTGGACGGTTACATATCAGTGGGTAATATTTGCAAGAAATAACACACTTTTATTAATTCCCATGTAACTAACTTTAATTTTGATATAACATATTTAAAATTAAAATCAAATACTAATTACCAAAATCGTCGTATAGACGAGGGGTCCAATTGTGGCAATGGTAAGAAATGTATACGACTTAATGAACCGAAACATTTCTTATCATTATAATGATTTTATTAAGAAATTCTACAATTTTTACTAATTTCTTAATATCATTTACTTTTATTTTCTGCCAATTTTAAAATATTTTGCTATAAAATGACCATCAAAAAAATGCCCTGTACCCGGTCTAGCACAGCAATACCATGTAATCTTCTCCCTCCTCTCCCTCCCCCCCTTCTCTCCCCCTCTCCGCCACCCTTCCTCCGTCCCCCTCTCCTTCCCATTTCTCCTGCTACCAAAGGAAGCTGATATAATCAGAAGTAAGCAAAAACTATCCTGATTTGCTTCATTCACTGAAGTACCATAACTTTTTGCCAATATGCGTTTTTGCATTTGCATAAGTGTGTAAAAAAACACAAATGCTTAAGACAGATATCCTTAGAATACTTCCGAGCGGCTTCGCTTTAGTACATATGCAAAGAAGTTTAAAGTAAGAACTTATAAGCTGGGGTAGTATTCAAAAAAATCCTAGTATTACCCTCCTCCCCCCTCCTTGGATCCTGCCACAGAACCCCTCCCCTTGCCCAAATCCAATATTCTGTCATTGTTCTAAAAGAGTGTGAATTGTTTTTCAAGCAAAATAGGCTTAAAAACCTGCAGAGTCACAAAAAGGCATACCTAAAAATCGTTTAAACTTGAGCTGACTGACGTAACTCCTCGGCCTCGTTGCCGC